GATTAACCGATTAATCGAACCTAATAATCGGCTAACTAATCGATTTTGAAAATAATCGTTAGCTGCAGCTCTACTCCTCAGACAGGCCAGTCCCCCTCCTCAGGAAGGCCCATGTACAGGCCCGTCCCCCTCCTCAGGAAGGCCCATGTACAGGCTCGTCTGACTTATGCCAATGAAGATCTCAATGATTCAGAGGAGGATTGGGGGAAAGTGTTGCGGTCACATGACACCAAAATTCAGCTCTTTGGCATGAACTCGACTTGCCGTGCTTGGAGGAAGAACAATGGTGACCTCTGACCCTAAGAACACCGTCACTACAGTCCAGCCCGGAGGGGGAACATTATGCTCTGGAGGTGTTTCTCTGCTGAAGGTACAGGCCGAGGAAGAAGCACATTGAGGTCATGGAGGGGCCCAGCCGGTCTCCAGGCCTCCATCCTATAGAACATTTATGGGAGGAGCCAAAACTTTGAGTGGCCGAGCGACAGCCAAGAAACCTGAAGAATCCCTCCTCAGATGTGTGCAACCCTGGCAACCAACCCCAGGAAACGTCTCCCCTCTGCGCCCCCCAACAAGGGTTCCCCCAGGAAACGTCTCACCTCCGTGCTCCCCAACAAGGCTTGCCCCGGGAAACGTCTCACCTCTGTGTCCCCCAACATGGCTTCCTTCCCAGGAAACGTCTCCCCTCTGCGCTCCCCAACAAGTGTTCCCCCAGGAAACGTCTCACCTCTGTGCCCCCCAACAAGGCTTCCCCCGGGAAACGTCTCCCCTCTGCGCTCCCCAACAAGTGTTCCCCCAGGAAACGTCTCCCCTCTGTGCCCCCCAACAAGGGCTCCCCCAGGAAACGTCTCCCCTCTGTGCCCCCCAACAAGGGCTCCCCCAGGAAACGTCTCCCCTCTGTGCCCCCCAACAAGGGCTCCCCCAGGAAACGTCTCCCCTCTGTGCCCCCCAACAAGGGCTCCCCCAGGAAACGTCTCCCCTCTGTGCCCCCCAACAAGGGCTCCCCCAGGAAACGTCTCCCCTCTGTGCCCCCCAACAAGGGCTCCCCCAGGAAACGTCTCCCCTCTGTGCCCCCCAACAAGGGCTCCCCCAGGAAACGTCTCCCCTCTGTGCCCCCCAACAAGGGCTCCCCCAGGAAACGTCTCCCCTCTGTGCCCCCCAACAAGGGCTCCCCCAGGAAACGTCTCCCCTCTGTGCCCCCCAACAAGGGCTCCCCCAGGAAACGTCTCCCCTCTGTGCCCCCCAACAAGGGCTCCCCCAGGAAACGTCTCCCCTCTGTGCCCCCCAACAAGGGCTCCCCCAGGAAACGTCTCCCCTCTGTGCCCCCCAACAAGGGCTCCCCCAGGAAACGTCTCCCCTCTGTGCCCCCCAACAAGGGCTCCCCCAGGAAACGTCTCCCCTCTGTGCCCCCCAACAAGGGCTCCCCCAGGAAACGTCTCCCCTCTGTGCCCCCCAACAAGGGCTCCCCCAGGAAACGTCTCCCCTCTGTGCCCCCCAACAAGGGCTCCCCCAGGAAACGTCTCCCCTCTGTGCCCCCCAACAAGGGCTCCCCCAGGAAACGTCTCCCCTCTGTGCCCCCCAACAAGGGCTCCCCCAGGAAACGTCTCCCCTCTGTGCCCCCCAACAAGGGCTCCCCCAGGAAACGTCTCCCCTCTGTGCCCCCCAACAAGGGCTCCCCCAGGAAACGTCTCCCCTCTGTGCCCCCCAACAAGGGCTCCCCCAGGAAACGTCTCCCCTCTGTGCCCCCCAACAAGGGCTCCCCCAGGAAACGTCTCCCCTCTGTGCCCCCCAACAAGGGCTCCCCCAGGAAACGTCTCCCCTCTGTGCCCCCCAACAAGGGCTCCCCCAGGAAACGTCTCCCCTCTGTGCCCCCCAACAAGGGCTCCCCCAGGAAACGTCTCCCCTCTGTGCCCCCCAACAAGGGCTCCCCCAGGAAACGTCTCCCCTCTGTGCCCCCCAACAAGGGCTCCCCCAGGAAACGTCTCCCCTCTGTGCCCCCCAACAAGGGCTCCCCCAGGAAACGTCTCCCCTCTGTGCCCCCCAACAAGGGCTCCCCCAGGAAACGTCTCCCCTCTGTGCCCCCCAACAAGGGCTCCCCCAGGAAACGTCTCCCCTCTGTGCCCCCCAACAAGGGCTCCCCCAGGAAACGTCTCCCCTCTGTGCCCCCCAACAAGGGCTCCCCCAGGAAACGTCTCCCCTCTGTGCCCCCCAACAAGGGCTCCCCCAGGAAACGTCTCCCCTCTGTGCCCCCCAACAAGGGCTCCCCCAGGAAACGTCTCCCCTCTGTGCCCCCCAACAAGGGCTCCCCCAGGAAACGTCTCCCCTCTGTGCCCCCCAACAAGGGCTCCCCCAGGAAACGTCTCCCCTCTGTGCCCCCCAACAAGGGCTCCCCCAGGAAACGTCTCCCCTCTGTGCTCCCCAACAAAGGTTCCCCCAGGAAACGTCTCCCCTCTGTGCTCCCCACCAACTACTAAGTCATGTTCTGCTTCCGGATTAAATACTTCTTTTACTCCCCGAACTGCAACTCCATTTATAACATTTGTGTCATGTGACCTCTCCGGGTGTTTGGTGGATATTCTGTTTCCGATGTACAGTACCAAAGAGGAGGATCCATCACAGTACTGTCCGGTGGATCTCCCCTCCTCCCCCAATCATCCATGGTGTATCTGCCCTGCTCCCACTCTAATCCATGGTGGATCTCCCCTGCTCCCCCCCTCATCCATGGT